GGCATTCATCATTGAAGAAGCTGGTCGTTTATGAGCATTACTGCTCATTATACTATTACTAATTGTATTATTATTCAAGGTCTCTGCTAAAGTGATTTCCGGTATTTGTTTTTATGTAAGTTTTTTTTCCGTCTATGTTTCTTGAGGCTTCATGTGCACACAGCCCCTCCCTGCTGGTCACAAATCTTTATTGTCACTTAGTGACGCCCTCTTCTTTAAATAAATCCAATCAGGCAGGAGACGTTTATGTAAAACTTTTGCAGTGTTTTCAAATGGTGACTTCAGTCAATCTTATTAACCTCTTAAGCCCCAAGCCTAACTGATCTCCTGCCTTTTGCCCCCGTATCAGGGGGCGTTGGGGCTTAAGAGGTTAAGAAATAATATTTTCTTCCACTGTGCTTGGACTCAGTAAGTTTCCCTTTTTTTCCGTAATAACCCCTCCAGCTTCAGAAAAAAACACTTTCACATGGCACTGAGGAGGCAGGGGTGCACAAGTATCCCACAGCAAGCCTGTAAAGGTTTGGCTATATGCACCTCTATAGATGTTATCCATATATCAGGTGTTGATGCACCCAATTTTTTAGTAATATCAAGCCAGCACTAAAAAATATAACACTCTGCAGACATAGCGAAATAAAAAAAATACATTTTTTTTATTTTGTGTAAGACTTACGAGATGTGAAAGATATTTTTTTGTTTTTTGTTTTAATTTTACACTGATTGGTAGCTTACATCAAATTGTCTATTTTATTTAATTATGTTCACCATAGAAATGTTAAATTATGTTGTTCAAATTAGAAGTTTCAATCTTGTAAATCTAACAACCACCTAATTTCATTTTTTTGAGTGCAGATGTTTGATTAGTACACTCTGGAAAAAGCATAAAGATAAGTACATTAACCCAGTGAAACATGAAATTTTAGTTTTACATTTTTGGTGATAATATATAATTTTGTTCGTAACACTACAGATTTCTGACTTTTTTGTGTGAAAAAAGTAGCTTCCTTGCTGCCCTCATGCCACCCTAAGAACATTTCTTTAGGTCCGCCCCTGTTCCTAATTCCATAGGGCTTTGGAGGCTTTTATGGCTTTTATGGTGCCGCACTCCCACAATGCATTGCGGCGTGACGTCAACTCCAAAGCCCTATTATCTGTCCAGTGATTATTATCAAATGCCTCTCAAAGCGGTCTGAAAACATTTTAATTGAAAGTTTAAGTAAAATATTATCCCGTGTCTGCAACATGTGCACTGAGAAAGTTGTTAAAAAATAGGTGATAAAAATAGGTGATAATAGGTGATAAAATGTCGTTTTACTGTTGCCGCACAACAAGAAGGTGCTGAGTTCAATTCCACCATCAGGCCGGGGTCTTTCTGAGTTTGCATGTTCTCCCCGTGTTTGCGTGGGTTCCCTCCGGGTACTCCGGCTTCCTCCCACCGTCCAAAGACATGCAGCTTGTGGGGACAGGTTAATTAGATAATCCAAATTGCCACTAGGTGTGAATGTGCGAGTGAATGTGTCTGTCCCTGTGTGTTGGCCCTGCGACAGACTGGCGACCTGTCCAGGGTGTACCCTGCCTCTCGCCCTATGACAGCTGGGATAGGCTCCAGCGCCCCCCGCTGTGGAAGAGAATGAATGGATCTTCACGAAAATAGAACAAAACAATAATCTTTTTTTCAAGTGGAAAATAAAAATCCAAGCACTTTGTATGTAAATTTCAGTCAGTGAACGTCTGTACTCGGTGTTTCAGTTTTAGTCAGAAAACTGAACAGTTATGATGGAAACTCTTACTGTATCTATTGAGGAGACTCTTCAAAGTGGTTAAAAAACAATAATTCAGGTATTCAGTCACTGCAGCTTGCAGAGAATCTTCTCAAGTGTTCCTCAAACTATCCCACCATTAATATTTCTATATATTTCTATAAAATTATTTTAATATTTCGGCCCCATTAGCACAACATGGATAATTACAGCTCCATGAAGTTGGAATCTCTTGCGCTCAAGTGGGCCATGGGTGAAAAATTCAGAGAATACCTGCTGGGACAGAAGTGCGTGGTCTTTACTGATAACAGTCCCCTCAGTTATCTCTCTTCAGCCAAGCTAGGTGCCCCCGAGCAGAGGTGGGCATCCCAGCTTGCAGCCTTCGACTTTGAGATCAAATATAGGCCAGGCCGCAGCAATGGGAATCCTGACGTTCTCTCTCTGCACTCTGGCTTCCGTGGCTGGCTAGAGCAATGTTCAACTGCACATCGGGCTGGTGTGGGGAGCTGCACGGGACTGAGCGAGGCTGTGGACAATCATAACCAGCAGAAGCCGCTGGTTGACTTGCGGAGTGCAAGTATTTCCAGTCTGCACTCTGTGTGTATTTTATTAAAGATCTAAGTTTTTCTTTTATTCTTTTTATTATATACAGAGAGCCTGTTATTTGGTGGCCCTTTTTTATTCTTTTTAACGTGTATGTCTTGTGCTTTTATTCCACTAAATTGAGTTGGCCGTGGGACCTCAGGTGGTGGGTCGTTTTCCACACTTCTTTTCTTGTACAGCACCGGGTGAATAGACTGTAGTGTTTTTTTTCCGTGTGGTTTACTTTTTGGTCCACAGCTGCTGGTAAGTCCAAGTTCCATGCTTATTTTTATTGTAATTTAGGACACAGTTATAGACGACGTTACATTCAGTGCTCTGTCATTGTTTGATGTTATATCTGACTTTATACAAATAAATAAAACTGTATTAATATTTGACCCAACCGGCCTCAGTGTGCATCTTTGAACTTGTGCGACGCTTTATTAATTTTTATAATCCTGCCAACCACTTGGTCACATATGGTTCTGCGATGTTTTGGTCTTTGGTTAGTTTGATCTTAATTACACGAGTAAGTATATTTCTAAACTATGTGCAGTCCATTTAGTTTGCCATAAGTGGAACAAGTTCTATCACATCTCAAAGGCAAACTAGTTTCCGCTGCCTTCAGTTTGGAGTGTCACAACAAAGACTTTTAGTGTCAGAGTTTTAATATATTTTTAACATGCAAAAGTATTTTCACATTGTGAATCAGGTTTACAGTGCTGTTTGCTCTTTTATCTCATTGTCCCTACAGCAAGTTAAAAAGAAAGAAAGAAAAGTGCCATGTTCATGAAACTTGATGGAAAAGTTTAAATTACAGAAGCTGAGGTAATTTCAGGGAAACTGAAAACACTCAGGTTTTTTTTCTTACATAATTTCTTTCTTCCCCGAAACTGACACTGAAGACTAAGAAACAACTCTCAAAAATAAGCCTAGTCTTATTTTCCACACATACTTGGTACTTTTCTTTTTTTAATAAAAGTGTTTTCAACACTGACAAATAAAAAAGTCCCAACTTTTATGTTTCATCACTGGTGATTTCAGTTGTTTTTGTTTCTGTAAAGAGAGGATGTAGAGTTAGCTATCAGAAAGGGATCCGTCTGGAACTAGGTCTCAAAACACAAGCCTAGAGCCTCTATAGTCAGAAGCCTGTGATGACTGATATATTGACTTTCCCTCTTTCTTCCACGGTATAACTGGCCATTTTTTCCTACTTTTGATTTTATCTCACCTTTAAAAATTATTTACCTTGCCTTGTTTTGTACTACTTGAAGAGTTTCTGGGTTGGGTGTGTGGGGTTAATCATGATACAGGTTGGACTGCTCCTGCACCTGCTGACGTAAATGTCAGACAATAGACAATAAAGAACAATGGAAATCAAATCTCATCTTTAAACAAAATATCAGTAACAGTTGAGCTGTAGATTTAAATTTCATGAAAGGTGAGAACTCAGCTGTTTATGAGCTTTCATGCCAAATCAAGTCTAATATAAATCCTGATAAATGTGTTTTTGTAATATCTTTATACTTTGGTACAGACATACAATATAGCAAAAAGCATCCTCTGCTGTACCGTCCTTAAACAAAATATTCTAAAAACCCCACTGTAAAATAATCCTGACCTCAAAACAAAAAGCACCATGACTGTGCTCAGTGACGTCTCTGACGTTAATAACAACACAGATGAACTCCTCCACAGATCATCGCTGCTAAGGATGAGAAGAGGACTTTAAAGTTCACACAATGAACAAGTTCTTCCTTATAAAGAAAATTTAACTTTGATGAAATCCAAATCCTTAAAACTGAAACCAAAACGATGTACTTCAGACAATAATCAGTGTGTCTGTGTGTGGCAATTATGAACTTTCATAATTACAAAACAAACAGATGGAAAAACACCTGCAGCTCCAGGCTGTGGTTAGAAAAAATACCTAGTGTCCAAACATGTTTACATCCTAGCTGCTGTAGTCACTTCAAGGCAAAAGGCGTTGAAAATCTTAGCTCTCTTTAGAATACATGCAGACTGCTAGATGTGGTACAGTTCTTAAACAGGCTGACTTCTTATTATCTAAATCAGTTTGGTCCTCAGGTTTTAGTCTGAATATTTATGGGTTAAAACAGAGAAAGACAACCATTCTTGCCTATTGGCAGCTTAAAATCACCATTTAACCTAAACCCACTGATTTCATGTCTTTGGACTTTGGGAGGAAGCTGGAGTACCCGGAGAGAATCCGCATAGACATGGGAAGAACATGCAAACCTCACAAAGGCACAGGCCAGATGATGAATTCAAAACCAGGAGTTTCCTGCTGTGAGGAAACAGTACTAACCCCATGTGTGCAGTTAAATTAAGAAGAAAATAACAGAAAATAGCAGTAATAATAATGATAAAGAGGAAAAAAAAGTATTAAATATTTAGTGAATTTAAAACAAGTTGGTATTTACAGGTTGTGCAAAACTTGTGCAATGAGCATTTAAGTGGCATTAGTTGAAGTGGCAGTGTGTAGAGTCCTGTAATTGTAATGATGTGTATAGAATGTCAGCAGTTCAAAAGTCTGATGGCTTGTGTGTAAAAACTGTCTCTGTATCTGGTAGTGCGGGTCTGGATGGTCCTGAACCACCTGCTGGATGGCAGGAGTGTGAAAAGTCTGTGGCTGGGATAAGAGAGGATCCGCTGCATCTTCCTCATACAACGGCTGGTAGTTCAGTCCTGGTGATGCGCTGTGCTGATCTCACCACCCTCAGCAGAGCTTTGCTGTCAAGCCCTAGCTATTGAAAGGGAAAGTTTTATGCCTGATCTTAAAAACAGAGAGGGTATCTGTCTCCTGAATCCCAACTGGGAGTTTGGGAGCAAGGCATGTCCATGAGCAAGGCACCTAGATAGGAGGTCCTTTCTCGAGCTGGAGTAAAGAATGAAAAAAATTTTTTTTAACAACAATGTCCTTTCATTTCCATCCTTCAATCATGAGATAAATGCATAAGATCAACATACTTCTGTTTTTCGATGCTTTGACTCAGTGAACCAGCGTCCTGCGACTGCGACACAGAGCAGCATAAAAACACAGAAAACCACAAGTGGGATCAGTCGGCTCCGACGGGACAAACCACCTGCCAGGAAAAACCAAACACAGATGAGATCTACTGTAAGACACAACATGACATGTCACATTTATTAAACTACCAAGCACAGAAGTTACACAAAGTTACATAACAGTGAAATGAAGTTAGAATTACTGAGATATCAGTCCTGATGGTCACTTTAATGCTACAAGTCCCAGAATTCTCAGGGCAGCAAACACGACTTTGTCAAAATCCACAAGAGAATAACTGATACATTTACTGCTTCACAGAAATAAATAAAGAGATCTGCAGAGCTTCAACTGTGCTTCAAAGTAAAAGCTGCACACATTAGACATTTTGAGGACTACACAGAGAGGCTGCTATCAGTGAGAGAAAACTGCATCATAAAGGTGATTTAGATCCATTTCAAGACTTTTTAATTGTCTTGATTTGTTCCTCATGTTCTCACCTTTACTGTGAAACTCGTCCATCGGCTCAGGAGTTTGGAGAGTTTCAGGATGCAGTGGTGTCTCGGTTGTCATAGTTTCAGCTGAATATAAGATTGTAAGAACATTTCATTATTTACAATAAAATAATATCCAGACATTTTTAAGGAGCAACACCAAAATAAGTTGTTGGTAAAATAACCCAAGCACACTGGTCTTTAAGGCAAGTTTGAAACCAAACAACAAAAATCTTTTCAGTCTAACTCACCAACAATCAGATGAACAATTGAAGACGTTGTTTGACTATTTAACTTTGGGATGAAACATCTGTATCTTCCTTCATCTTCTTGTGTCACATTAGTGATTCTTAGTGAGATGTTTCCTTCTCTCAGGCCGTCTGTGAACAACGCCGTCCTTCCGAAGTATGATGGGATCTTCATGTCGGGGACCTCTCGGGCGTCTCTGTAAAGATGAACATATTCCACTCGACTCAGACGGTCGTTGGGGTCAGGACGACGATCGGGCCTCGACCACTCCACCGTCAATCTCGCCACATTAAACTTTGGCTCCACGTGACATGGCAGGATGACATCATCACCTGGAGCGGCCAGGATAGGCTGAAGTGATCCGACCACATCAAACTTACCTGAGGAGGAGAAATAAATA